ACACACACACACACACACACCAGGATGAAACACTTACACTCTGACCTTTGTGCACGAAAAGTTAAAGTTAAAATAATATTCCATGACTCAGCCCCCACGACGGTAGACTGACCAGGTGTGTTCATGACTCAGCCCCCACGACGGTAGACTGACCAGGTGTGTTCATGACTCAGCCCCCACTACGATAGACTGACCAGGTGTGTTCATGACTCAGCCCCCATGACGGTAGACTAACCAGGTGTGTGTGGCGTTCGGTGGGAGAGTGGTTCTTACCCTCAACAAAGACCTGTATTACCTGGGTTCGATGACTGAACTTAGTGTATTAAGTTATATCTTGTTATTGTCTGGTCAGGTTAGGGCTGGTCAGGTCAGGTCAGGTCAGGTCATGTTAGTTCAGCTTAGGTCAGGTCAGGGTAGGTTAGTTTAGGTGAACAACATCAATTGCATGACTCCCGGTGCTGTACATGACCTTTGACCTCGTCTCAGGAGGATTACTGGAAGGATTCAGGGATTAGGGAAAGTATTAGGGGTCAGGATAGGGCAGTACAGGGTATTGGCTCACCTGTCCGCTAATTGGTGTTAGGGTGAGTGAAGGTGTGAAGGTTTGTAATCCTTGTCTGTCTGGGTTCATACAAAGGAGTGTTAGTTACAAGACTAGCGAGGTCATCCTGAAACTGTATCTTGCGCTTGTGAGACCTCACTTGTATTACGCAGTTCAGTTCTGGTCACCGTATTACAGAATGGATATAGAATCCTCGGAAAGAGTTCAGAGGAGAATGACAAGACTAATCCCGGGTTTTAGGAACCTTGAGTAAAGAGACAGGTTAAAGCATCTTAATTTGCACTCCCTCGAGAGACGTAGAGCGAGGGGCGACCTGATAGAGGTGTATAAGTGGAAGTCAGGGCTAAACAAAGGGGACATTACAAAGGTACTCAATAAACTATCCAACCAGGAGCGAACTCGTAACAATGGTTTTAAATTAGATCAATTTAGATTTAGGCGCGAGATAGGTAAACACTGGTTTGGAAACAGAGTAGTGGATGAATGGAACAAGTTACCAAACATCATCATTAACTCTACACGCTGGATAGCTTCAAACATAGGTTGGATGCTTATATGAGCAATAGGGGTTGGGTGTAAACGGGACTGCCCAGTATGGACCAAAAGGCCCGCTGCAGTTTCCTCCATTCTTATGTCTGACCTGTCTGTCTGTCTGTCTGTCTGTCTGTCTGTCTGTGGGTGAGGGAAGGTGTGAAGCCTTGTAATCCTTGGCTGTCTCTCTCTGTCTGTCTGTCTGTCTGTCAACATGGCACATGGCCTCAATAGAATTTCTTTCCAATAGCATCAAACAAAACAATAATTCTTTATTTTTCCATTTTTCGCCAACTTGCTAAAAACTCGTGATTGAATGGAAGGCAAAAGGTAAGTTTACACAGATTCTTACAAAGGACCAATGTGATGAAAGAGATAGGAGTAGAGGGAGAGAGTGGGGAGGGAGAGGGAGAGAGAGTGGGGAGGGAGAGGGAGAGAGAGTGGGGAGGGAGAGAGTGGGGAGGGAGAGGGAGAGAAAACAACAAAACACAAACGAGGAAACTATATCCACACACACACACCGCACCGGACTACTCATCGCTCCAAGGCACCCTGGACAGGCTACAGGCATGGACTACGGAGAACAAGGTCACCATTAACCACACCAAAACCGTAGTCATGCACATCAATACCGCCACCACTCCAGTGCAAGCCCCAGCAGTCACAGTGGGTGCCCATCCTCTCCAGCTGGTGCAGTCTGCCAAACTCCTGGGTGTAACCATAGACAACAAACTGGACTGGAAGGACCATGTAAATAACACAGTCAAGGCAGCCTCGTACCGTCTCTACATGCTACGACGACTTAGGTCACTTGGGACACCCACGCCAGAGCTGAGGACCATCTACAACGCCTTTATTCTCCCCAAACTAACGTATGCGTCACCAGCCTGGTCGTCTTCTCTCAACTCCACCCAACAACGTCAGCTAGAGAAGGTACAGAAAAGGGCCTGCAGAATTATGCTCGGCGCAGAATACTCCGGCTACACCAACGCTCTCTCCACCCTGGAAATGACATCCCTCAGTGACCTCCACCACCAAGCACTGGAAAGGTTTGGCCGTGGACTACTGCACCACCCTCGTCATCGCCACCTCCTGCCACCAGCAGCCCCCCACCCACCTCGCGCAGTCCGCCACTACAACAAAATTCAGCCCATAAGAGCCCGCACCGATAGATATAAGAACAGCACCATCCCATCTATTGTTAAAATAATAAACAACTCCTGATTTATGTACTGTACAGCCCTGTAAATGTATTCAATGCATATTATATCATTATGTCTAAATCAAATGTAAGTCTGTATATTTTCAGCCACCGGCTGCAACTCTTTTAATAAACCTTTTATTATTATTATTATTATTATTACACACACACACACACACACACACACACACACTCCTCACGCCATCAACTCGCCTAACATATGCTAGCTCGGGGCGGCCCAGGAGAGGAGGGGAGGCTGTAGGGATATTACCCCAGACTGAGGCACTGACGGGAAATTATCGCAGTTTAGGAGAGGCTTCTTGGCTGGGAGGTGGGGGAAATATGGCGAGGTGTAGGGAAAAACTGGAGATGTGTGTGTGTGTGTGTGTGTAGTTTTCTCGTCTCTCTCTCTCTCTCTCTCTCTCTCTCTCTCTCTCTCTCTAAACCACCTGCACACTGACAATCTATTTCAATCTTTCCTAATCACCTGTGACCCCCCCCCCAGGGACTCCGTTATTACCTGCACCTACCTGTCCTTACTAATTAGTGGTGCCTCAGGTATGAGTATAGTGAAGCACCTGAGTTCCTTCTGAGGGCGGTGATGCTATTGTGTGGGGGTAAGGTTAGGTTAGGTCAGGTCAGGTTAGGTTAGGTTAGGTTGGGTTAGGTCAGGTTGGGTTAGGTTAGGTTGGGTTAGGTTAGGTACCTCTGGTGGATGGTCTGCAAGATTAGACTAAGAAAAATGAAACCCCTAACCTAACCTAACCTAACCTAGCCTAGCCTAGCCTAGCCTAGCCTAACCTAACCTAACCTAACCTACACTAACCTAACAATCACACACACGGAGGCAAATCTATTGGTTTTGAGAGATGAAGCCTTTAGCCCCCACAGTACAGCCCCCACACCCTACAGAATAGCCCCCACACAGTATAGCCCCCACACAGTATAGCCCCCACACAGTATAGCCCCCACACAGACATAAGACCTCTTTCTACAACCAAAGACTCTCGACTCCTGAGGCTAAGGTATTGAAGGAACTGGACTCCGAGACTACCTGTGGTCATCAAAGACTCCCAGAGTGCCTTGTTACCTGTGTGACATGACCCCAGAGATGACCTGACTTCTGCATAACTTGTCTCTCGTGAGGGGCTGAGGGCGGTGTTTGACGAGTGATTCCTGGTTTATACATACATACATACATACATACATACATACATACATACTGTACATACATACATACATACATACATACATACTGTACATACATACATACATGAGGTATAAGCATTACTAAACAATATAACTCCAATTAATTTTTTATTCAGGCGTAAAAACACCGACCACCCATCCATACTCACTCACTCACCCACCACCCCACCCACCCCACCCCACCCCACCCACCCCACCCCACCCACCCGCAACCCCACCACGAGACAGCTCCAACAAAGACAAAAAAAATATCCAATGTTGAAATAAAAACCTCTACCAAAATGGCCGCCAGATTCACCATTATTTTTTTTTTTTTTTGAAGGCAAAAAAAACTAAAATAAGATGAAAAATAAATTAATATGCATACCTGGGTGAGAGAGAGAGACTGATCACACCACAAACACATAGAGAGGTAAGGATGATAGATCACCTCCACCTGGTACAACACACACACACACACACACACACACACATACACACACACACACACACACACACACACACACACACACACACCTGGCGATAAATCGTGTTGATACTGAACAAAACAAACTTCAAATTCAGATCCGAAAAAAAAAAATATATATGTATATGTTTTTTTATCTTAAATACAACAGCGTGAAATTTTATATAGAAAAAATGTAGCAAAAGTCTTATATTTTGTCAGTGAATAAAATAGAATAAAATATATAAATAATTAAATTTTCTCTCTAAAAAAATCGTAAAAAAATCCCAAATGCCAAGAAAATTCTACAGAAGAAAATAAGATTTTTTTTTATAATTTTTATAAAAATATAATTCGTTTTATAAACAGATTTTGGGAAGGATAAATATATATTTTTAAGACAATACATACGTGGGATTAACACACACACACACACACACACACACACACACACACACACACACACACACACACACACACACACACACCCACACCCACACACCTCACACACACCCCACACACCCCACCTCACACACACACACACACACACACACACACACGGAAACTGAAGCTGGAAATTTATGTCATAAGCTGGTTTGGCTTAGGTTAGGTTAGGTTAGGTTAGGTTAGGTTAGGTTAGGTTAGGTTAGGATAGGTTAGGTTAGGTTAGGTTAGGATAGGTTAGGATAGGTTAGGTTAGGTTAGGTTAGGTTAGGTTAGGTTGAGGTGGCATTGGCTTGACCCTCCGTTTCCTCCTCCATATTCTCTCCACCTTCCTCCCTCTATTCGTTCCCCTCACTCTTCCTTCCCCTCTTCCTACTTCTCTATTTCCTCCTTCCTTTCTTTATACTGCTTTCCATCTTCCTCCCTCTTCTCCTCCCCCTCTTCCTCCTTTTCTCCATCTTCCTCCCTTTACTCCTCCCCCAATCTTCCTCCATCTATCTTCCCCCTTCTCTCCATCTTCCTCCCTCTATTCTTTTTTCTTCCTTCCTCTCTTCCTCCCCTCTCCATCTTCCTCCCTCTACCCCTCCCTCTCACTCGGTATAAATCACCACACTGTTGAAGGCCGGACTAAAGTTTGCAAGATTCATGGCCATCTGGGGAGCCACCTGGACCACCTGGGAGGCCACCTGGAGCATTTTGGGAGCCACCTCGATCATCTGGGCAGCCAGCTGGGCAATCTAGGGACCACGTGGGTCATCTAGGGACCACCTGAACCAGCCTGAGCCACCTGGTCCATATTGGTACCATTTAGTTTATCTGGCAGCCACCTGTACCATCTAGGGCGCCAACTGGGCCATCTAGGGCGCCAACTGGGCCATCTAGAGCGCCAGCTGGGCCACCAGCTGGCGCTAGCTGAGACATCTAGAGCCCCACCTAGGCCATCAGAGACCCATCTAGACCAGCCAGCTGTGAATATATTACTGGCAGGTGGTGAAGGCCAGATGGGTGATGCTTGACACACCTCAACCAGCTGTCAGGTGGTGTAGCAAAGGAGGAAGGAATGACGGCTTTCGTGACGGCCAGAGAGAGAGAGAGAGAGAAACAATTAAACGCGTGCCTTTATTATATATATACATACATATATATATATATATATATATATATATATATATATATATATATATATATATATATGTATAGAGAGAGAGAGAGAGAGAGAGAGAGAGAATTATATAGTACTCATAACTCACTGTATTCATATAAGAATAAAATGTTGTATTATTAATAATAATAATAATAATGTCATCAACTGTCCACAATTTATTTAAATCATTATTATATGTGACCCTCCAGCGTGACCTTCCCCCCCCCACAACCTCCACACATGACAGCTCCCTTCATCCCCTTTCCCTTCCCCCACACGTCACGCAGCACCCCTCCACCTCACAGGTCACGGCAGCAACCCTCACATGTCATCACCCAGCTCCATGTCACTGCAGCTCCCTGCCCCCCCATATGTCACTGCAGCCTCCCCTCACACCTCCCCTCACACATGTCACTGTCACTGCCCCTCCTCATGTCTGCACCCCTCCCCTCACATGTCATGCCCCCTCCCTCACATCACATGTCAGCACCCTCCCCCACCCTCCCCTCACATGTCACTCATAGCACTCCTCCCCTCATGTCATGTCACTGCAGCACCCTCCCCCTCACATGTCACTGCAGCACCCCCTCCCCTCACATGTCACTGCAGCACCCCTCCCCTCACATGTCACTGCAGCACCCCTCCCCTCACATGTCACTGCAGCACCCCTCCCCTCCCTCACATGTCACTGCTTCCCTCACATGTCATGGCCCCTCCCCTCCCACATGTCACTGCAGCACCCCCTCCCCTCCCCTCACATCCCTCACATCACTGCAGCACCCCTCCCACGCCTGCAGCACCCTCCACATGTCACTGCAGCACCCCTCCCCCCACATGTCCTCCCCCCCTCCCTCACATGTCCTGCAGCACCCCCTCCCACATCACTGCACATGTCACTGCAGCACTCTCCTCACATGTCACTGCGCACCCCCTCCCTGGCATGTCATGACAGCACCCCCTCCCCCACATGCACATGTCACTGCAGCACCCCTCCCCTCACATGTCATGGCAGCACCCCCCCTCACATGTCACTGCAGCACCCCTCCTCTCACATGTCACTGCACCCCTCCCCCATATGTCACTGCAGCACCCCTCCCCACATGTCACTGCAGCACCCCCTCCTCTCACATGTCACTGCAGCACCCCTCCCCTCACATGTCACTGCAGCACTTCTCCCCAAAAAAAATGTGACCAACACCAGCTGATGTATTCTCGGCCTTACGTCTGTCATTTGCATAATTGTTTATTAATTCCACGTATTATCATAAGTACCTTTACTGTGCCATATTTTTGCCTTGGGGAGTGTTTTTCGTGCTTGTGTGTGTGTGTGTGTGTGTGTGTGTGTGTGTGTGTGTGTGTGTGTGTGTGCGTGTGTACACAAATACACAGTGCACATACTGATATTACATTCACATATTAACACAAGCAAGCACACACACATTAGTATCCAGTCGAGTCTACTTATGAAGATCGTCTCATTAGTATCGTTTTCAACTAGTGTACATCAGGGGAGAGGAGACATACCCCCGCCATCTCTCCCACACAAGAAAACAATCAGCGTTACTTTTAGAAATAAGAGGAACATCTCCCCAGTCCGACAATTTCTTCCAAAAATGAAAATAAAGTCGGTAGTGAGTTGACTAATCGAGACGAACGGATGGGAAAACCCGCCATTAATCTTCATGAATCAACATTGCGCGGGAAAAGTTTGTTTACACTCGTGTTCATTTTTTTCTCCCAGGATGTATTAGGTAAAGACGACCATTAGATCCACTCATCTGCTTCTCATTACGCTTGAGTTTTAATATTCTTAAGGAATCTTGTTAATTTACCCGTTTTTAACCAAGTTTTCATTTATATTTTTTCTAAAGGAATTATCAACATTTCTTCAGACATTAATAAAATGTGAATACTAAATGTAAAAAGTTAATCTTGCAATAAAAAACAACGATGATTCGATTTTTTTTTCTGGTCTTACTGTGTACAAGGTCGTCTATACAACAATGTATAAACACCAAACGAAATATATACCTGTTTCTCTACCTCTGAGTCCTGTTTCTCTCAGCAAATCGTCAACATTTACAAAAAGATGAAAAAAATAGGTGTACCCCGAAGGCCAAACTCAGATTATCTATATGACTACTGCCACTCGGGAGGACGACGCCCCAACGCCACCAAACCCGATAAGTGGGCCAAAGACGACTCTATTAGCTCTTAAAATGGAAATTCCAGGGCAACTTTAGGGTGATAAGTGGGCGAGGGAGGCACTTCAGCGAGGGAAATGTAAGTGATAAGTGAACGGCTGCTCCAGACTGGTCGGGGCCCCGTTGGCGGGAAATCCCATGTTTTGGCGCGAAATCGTAAGTTTTGGCGCGAAATCTTGGGCCTTTTGGCGGGAAAATCAGTCCATCTGTATTCTTAGATTTCACTTTCGTTGAGACCCTCACTTAAGTGTCTTACACCTAGACTCATTCTTTGATGATATCTATATGTTAGTGGATATCTATGTTATGTGGATATCTATTGGGCAAGATCTATATGTTATCACTGCTTCAACAACTAAGGTACTCAGGAACGTATAGCAAGGTTGGTAATAACACTAGTGGTCCATCAACAACTGTATCTATGTAATCAATTGTATGTGTCCATATATACGGTTCATGTAGAGAGAGAGAGAGAGAGAGAGAGAGAGAGAGAGAGAGAGAGAGAGAGAGAGAGAGGCTATTCATCTCACACACCACACATACAGTACACGTCAATCACACAAATGGCTATATGACCTCCGTATATTTCCCCTTGCCATCTGTACATTAAAAGCCGTCTGTATATTTGTTTATTTGGACGAAAAAATAAGAAACATCTTTCAAATAATACAACTGTCAACACTAGTCGGTAGAGTTGACAGCGAGTAAATACAACCAATTTATGCCCATCTCTGGTAACAAGGTGAAATACGGAGGCATAACTGGAGGGAGTTGGTAAGATCGAGGAACGTGTTCTTTTTGACAAGGGTTCTCGACCTTATGGCGGTAGGGAGTTGGGCCTTGTTATCCTACTGCTCCAGCCACACCAAAGATGCCACAGTCGATAAAGTTTTCCCGCCAACATGACAGGTTTCGCGGCAAAACAGATGGTACGAAATCTTGGCGGGAACGTTTAAGCGCGTGTGGTCTTGAACGTCTCTGTTTTAGTGGTGATGTGCTTTTGTTTACGGTGTAGGATGAATGTGTGGAACGTTTTAGCTTAGCGTCTTTGTTTACGGTGTAGGATGAATGTGTGGAACGTTTTAGCTTAGCGTGTTTGTTTACGGTGTAGGATGAATGTGTGGAACGTTTTAGCTTAGCGTGTTTGTTTACGGTGTAGGATGAATGTGTGGAACGTTTTAGCTTAGCGTGTTTGTTTACGGTGTAGGATGAATGTGTGGAACGTTTCAGCTTAGCGTATTTGTTTACGGTGTAGGATGAATGTGTGGAACGTTTTAGCTTAGCGTGTTTGTTTACGGTGTAGGATGAATGTGTGGAACGTTTTAGCTTAGCGTGTTTGTTTACAGTGTAGGATGAATGTGTGGAACGTTTTAGCTTAGCGTGTTTGTTTACGGTGTAGGATGAATGTGTGGAACGTTTTAGCTTAGCGTGTTTGTTTACGGTGTAGGATGAATGTGTGAACGTTTTGCTTAGCGTGTTTGTTTACGGTAGGGATGAATGTGTGGAACGTTTTAGCTTAGCGTGTTTGTTTACGGTGTAGGATGAATGTGTGGAACGTTTTAGCTTAGCGTGTTTGTATCTCCAGTCTTTTGTTTAAGCTTAACTAAAGACGATTCTGGTTTTATTTTTATAGCTTAAAACGTTTCTATTCATTATATTTTTATTTCAAAATTGTTAACAAAAACAAAATAAACAAACACCAAAAACAAACACAACAGAGACAAAAAAAAAAAATTATATAAACAAACAAACAAACACAAAATAAACAAACAAACATCAAAACAAACACAAAATAAACAAACAAACATCAAAACAAACACAAAATAAACCAAGAACAAATAAAACACACTAACCTGTGAAAACTTGAGGCAAGGAACCGAAATGACGTGAAATAAGAGACAGAGAAACAAACACACACACAACAATATATTTCAAACTAGACAGGAAATATACTCCCCAGATGAGATGGAATCCAGTTAAACTCTTTCTCTATATCTCTCATTTATCTCTCTCTCTCTCTCTCTCTCTCTCTCTCTCTCTCTCTCTCTCTCTCTCTCTCTCTCTCTCTCTCTCTCTCTCTCTCTCTCTCTCTTCTCCATACCTTTCCTTCGTCTCTTCTCCTAAAATGAACCAAACCAAGAAAAGAAAAATCCTGGAGTGACCCCCACCCGAGAGCCGCCTTTAGTACGAGCAACTCCAATAAACGGCGCCAGACCTCGTGAGACCAGAGTGACTCCCAGCATACAAGTGAGTAGGTTTTGTGGAGGGCATCACCATTACTACCTCCCAGGACTAGATGGTGAACTGGACGTGATGATGGTGTGTGTGTGTGTGTGTGTGTGTGTGTGTGTGTGTGTGTGTGTGTGTGTGTGCGTGTGTGTGTGTGCCTACAGTAGCCTTCAAACAATAATCACTGATAATATTTTTTGATTTCTAAAACATTTATTTTTCGAGTTTGACAAGTCAGTAACCTAACCTAACCTAACCTAACCTAACCTAACCTAACCTAACCTAACCTAACCTAACCCTGTTATAATAAGGGCGGGTAAAGGTAAGATATATCATTACTTATC